CAGGGGAAGCAGGGGGAGGAGGAGGCGGAGGGCTATGAGGACTGAGGAGGGGTGGGGCATACATGTGAAGGAGTGAGAAAGAGGAACCGGGTGATTTGATAACCGAATGGACTTCTGTCCATCCCGCCACCGTGCCTGGGTTGTGTGTCACAGGCCTGTAGGATGTTCGTTGTGATGTCGTGGAAGGCCGCTCGGGGCCTCTTGGGAGCTGTTTTGAGGCCTCTTGGAAGCCGTTTTGTTTCTTGGGGTGTCATCGGGGCCTCTGGGGTGTCTCTTGGAGCCTCTTGGGGCCACTTTGGGCCTCCTTGGGGCCTCCTGGGGGCTTCTTTGGGCGGCAGAATCGGATGTTGGGTTCGCGTCCCCCCTTTTGGACTCTTTTTGGGGCTGTCTTTGGGTCCCCTTGGGCCGTCTTGGGCGCCCCTGGGGCCGTCTTGGGGCGCTCTTGGGCCGTGCTGTGGCCCTCCTGGGGGCCTCTTGGGCCGTCTTGGGGTGGTCCTGGGGGCCTATTGGGCCGTCTTGGAGCGTCGGGTGCTCGAAAAGTCGACGACCCCCCAAGTCATTGAAACACCAATGGAACATTATTTGTTTGGGCCTCTCGGGGCCCTCTTGGGGAGACTCTTGGGGCTCCTTTGGGGCGTCTCGGAGGCCTTCGGCCGGTTGGGGTCATCTTGGGCGTCTTGGTACTGGGGCTTAGAGGCTTAGAGGATTAGACAAAGGCCCTGGGGGCACGCCCATTCCGTGCCGAGCGACAAGGTGGTGGATGAGGAGTGAGAGGTTAGGAAAATGGCGTTGACCACAGATCCCATGATGAGGCGGGAGGTGCTGAAGAATGATATGTTCGAGTGATTTTGAGTATGCTTATGCTGCTGCTAATGGGGAGGGCGATGAGAAGGATTGAAGCGTGGGGAGGGCAGATAAGCGGATGATGATGACACTGATACTGATGATGATGCTGATGATGATGACGATGATGATGCTGCTGATGATGATGACGATGATGATGATGCTGATGATGATGACGACTATGATGATGATGATGATGATGATGATGATGATGATGATGTTGATGATGATGATGCTGATGATGCTGATGATGATCATGAGGTTGTTGATGATGACGATGATGATCATGATGGCGACGACGATGATGGTGATGAGGAGGGCGACACCGGCAAGGACGATGATGACGGCGATGATGATGATGTCGGCGACGACGACGATGATGATGTTGTTGTTGATGATGATGGTGGTGGTGATGATTGTGATGAGTATGGTGACAATGATGATGACGACGATGACGATGTTGATCATGATGACGACAAGTACGACGACGATGATGATGGTCGTGGTAATGGTGGTTGTGGAGATGATGATGATACTGATGATGATGATGCTGTGATGCTGCTGGTGATGGTGATGATTATTGTGATGCTGATGGTGCTGATGATGATGCTAATGGTGATGGTGATCGTGATAATGATGCTGCTGATGATGACGACGATGCTAACGGTGATGATGAGGAGGAGGAGGACGACGACAGCGACGACGAGTATGACGACGACGATGTTGATGACGACGACGATGATGATGCTGATATTGACGACGATGATAATGGTCGTGGTGATGGTGGTGGTGATGGCGAGGGTGATTATGTTGGGATGACGATGTTGTTGTTGATGATGGTGATGATGACAGCGATGACTGCGACAACTACGACGACGTTGTTGATGATGATGCTGATTCTGATGATGGTAGTTGTGGTGATGGTGGTTGTGGTGATGACGATGCTGGTGATGGTGATGGTGATGCTGAATGTGATGATGCTGATGATGATGCTGATGCTGATGATGATGATGCTGATGATGATGATGATGATGATGATTATGATGATGATGATGATGGTGGTGATGATGATGATGATGATGATGATGATGATGATGATGATGATGATGATGATGATGATGCTATAACTGCTTTTGAGTGTTTTGATCGTTACAATCGTGTGCGCCGCAACCGCTGCGGCTCAAGTCTTAATCTGAGCGGCGCCCTGCAAGATCTCGCTCTCGCCTTCGGAGAGGTCGCGCGATACGGAACTCAGGCCTTGGCGGTGGTGGCGCGGGCGGCCGCGCCGAGCTGCGGAGCCTGCGTGCCTCAGCTCTCCTGCCCCGCCACCCCTGCGCGTGTCTGCGCGGGCGCGGGTGGCCAGGTGCCTGAGCCACCGTGCGGGTGGCTGGTGCTGGCATACGCGGCGGCGGCGCTCGTGACAGGGTCGGTCCTCGGCCTGCCTGGAGGGCTGCTGCTGGTGCGTCGCCTGGCATCACCGCCCGTGTCGTCCGCAGAGCCCGACTTGGAGGAGGCGGGGGCGCAGGCCAGGGCTTCTCGTGATCGCAAGTCGTTGGGCTGTGACGATGGCGCATCCAATGCAGTGGTGCCTGGTGAGATACCGCGTGGGTGGCGCGGTCGTCTGGCATGAGAGGTTGATCGTTCTCCGAGGGCCAGG